TTACTACTGTTACACAGCACAAAACGCATAACGAGAACATTTCTAAAATGAGCAAACGTATCAAACCGTGAAGCAGTGAACTTTCTTACTGTTAACGATCATACTGCTGCACGAAACCTTGAAAAACGTATAATCGCACTTGCAACTCTGCTGCGTTTAGCTATGTATTAATACTTTAAAGCTACTGCATGATTTTTACTACACTGCGACTTTTTCGCTAGACCGGTAGCAGTGTAATATTTTATGAGTTATGAAAAATACACGATTTTAGCTATTGGTATTTTGCCATCGCATTATAAAAATACCTCTCCATGGAATCCCCCTCTATATCTTTCCCTTCCGTTCCTCCTTTTCACAGCTTTTTGCCCTCTAAGAAGGGCCAGCGTATTCTCCAAAAGTGTACTCTCCTCGATAAAAAAAAAGAAAAAAATTTCACTAGCGCGCATTCCGGGAAATTTTTATATGCCCATCTGTGTACCACACTCCAGGGAAGAAATTCTTCGAGAAATGCTCCTGTCGAAAAAAACGATGCTTTGCGTTAGCTTGAACTCAGTGAACTAGAATTACAGAAGGACTCATGAATTTCTTTGCTTCGGAATTTGATAGATTATTTGTGGGGAATTCGTTACATTTCTAAAAATGTGGAATTTTGAAGCTTATGTAAATGGACTCCTGAGGTCCCTTCCTCGATCAGTAAAAAATCAAAACTTCTCAAAAAGTGAGACGAAACAAACAGCCGATGCAACGTGACACTAATGCGCAACGAATGGCATGGGACGTGTGTTTATGAAATGGTTGGATGGCTGCTGGTCCGAGAGCAGGGCCGGAAGACTGCTTCGGTTTCTTTTTGCAAGCATCGTTCGTCTAATTGATGTTGCTCACAAGGTGCCATGATCGCCGATCGTTCATCGCTACCACATGATACAATTTTGCGCAAAAAATCCTGTCAGCTGACTGAAACGTCATGCCTTTTACCCCAGGAATCTGCTCCGCTGCGCCGGCTTTTTCGCCTGCAGGCCGAATCTGGCACCATTTCGAATCAAGCAGCTTTTAACTTATCAATCACGTTACCACTCGCACTTCGGACTTTTCTATTACTAGGTGTCATGACTGGTCTTGAGCAGTACTAAAGGAAATTCAGTAACAGTGAAATGAACTTGTGCGCAAAGTTCGGCCATGTCAGGCTTATCTGCCCTCCTGAAAAGACCCTACCTGAGCGTGTTAATCAGCTGTAGCTCGAACCCAGTATCCTGAAAGAGATTTCTGACGTGGGATCGTTTGTTGGGAAGCGAAAACGCAGGGAGGTGCTCCTTTTATTGTGCTTCTTTCTCTCACCTGTCTTGGAGAACTTTGAGTTCAATTATTTCTACTGCGTTTACTATCCAGTGCACTTCCTGTCGTAACAGCAATTACAAAAGCTCGGCTCGGCCGGTGCTCTGAAAGCGCTTTAGCGTCTCCACCAGCGTTGTTTCACGGTGACACTCGCCGGCACCGTTTGACGCTTTGCCAAGGGTAACGCTGCCCGGCGTCCGGCGGCTGGGTTACGTGGTTGGGGGAGGGTTGGGGATTGCTGGTTGATAGATACAGCTCAGAGGGCACGGTTGTAAACAGTATACAAGAGCGGGACGAGGGTGCTAGTCAGGAGTTCGGGACGATAAGTGGTGACAGTGGTTGGGGTTGATGGGTGATAGGTGGCCCGATGCGGCTCTGAAGGCAGGAAATGGGAACAGAATGAAGGAGAACAAGGGTACTGGTCAAGAGTTCGAGGCAAGAACTGCAGACAGCAGTTAAAAAGAGGCCAACACAGCATATAAAGAAAAGTAAATTAAAACAAATTTGAACTTATGAATAAAAGGAAAAAAAGCGAAATCAAAGAACTGGAGCCTGCAAACAAAGGCAAAAAAAAAGCAAATGCAAACAAAAACTGAGCTTATGCGAGTGGGAACTGTCTTGCAAAGACCGTCTTCAGCAAGCGGCTTCCGTATATATGAAGATTATGCTTAAGTGAAGCTGAAGGCAAATAAGTTCAATTGCATTTTCACAAGAATTGCATACAATTCCACTGTGTTGCCTCCTGCAGCCTGCAACTGCGCACAACCGTTACATTTCTGCTTTTTTGCTTTCAAAACTTCACAGAAGTAAAGGCTGACTTCACCCCGATGTATCCAGTCTGCCCTGTTTTTGCTCACATCACATCCTACAACGGGAACTATTCGTTCTTAGCTTTACCTAAGCATCAGCCCCAACAAAAAGGACGTCTTTTACTCACCACGGATTTTTATGGAACAATTTCCACTAGCAAAACCTCTGTTTTTTTGCTTGTATTCGCAAATCAGACTTACTCTAGTTTATTTTTCTTTGTGGCGATGTGTTGTTTTATTCTCTTTATTGCTGTCTCCAGTTCTTCCATCGAGCTCCTGACTTGTACCCTTGTTGCCCCTCTCTACCGTGTCCCCAACCCCTGCCCTCAAACAACATCTTGGCTTCTCTCATCGACACTAATAAGAGCACTGTGCAAGCAGTCAGTGTTTCACCTTCCCCTATCCTAGATTTCTACAGTAAGAACTAGGGACACACTCCCTCATCCTTTCCATTCATCACCTTTCCCCTTCTCCCCTCCAAATGTACGTGACTTAGACAATCGACGAAGGATCTATGCCATTTAGACCTTAAATCCACCTACCCCAGCCCCTCCCTTGCTTCGAACGAAACCCGCAAAATGCCACTCTTCGTTCCATCTGCCACATTCAAGCTTCGGCCATTTGACGTGGGCAGTCCTACTAACCGTCGGCAGAAAACATTTTTTGCAGATCGTGTATGACGCTGACTGGGCTGAGCAGAGTTATTGTAACTGCCCACTGAAAGCATGCAGAGCAGATTCAGAATGGATGTCAAGATTTATTACATTTAACAACAAGCTGTGAGATACGGGAAATCCATAAAAAAGCATTGGGATCAATGCTATATCAGAAACAAACGCGGCCGCTCTCTTTTTGAACTGAGAGGGCACAAACATCATATATACATAAGCAAATGCAAAAACTGAGTAAGATCATCGCTTTCAATAGCATAAGAGTTATACACCGAAATCAGCTTTCCCTTAGCGCCTCATAAACATAAGAATTGGCGCAGGCACAAGTAAGAAGTGGTATCGGTGGAGAAGCAAAGCAAGGCGGAATCTATCCCTCAGAAGTCTTTGATGCTACTGCCTCTCGCAAACAGCAAATACGGAGGGATTTTTGACTTCTGGCATGAATGAATTAAATCGAAATGACAGGGATACTGTGTCGACGATAGAATAGTGCTTATCGCACCACATCCACAACCTTTACAACCAGAATGAACTTATGAGCTATGAAAAGAAATCAAAATCAGAGAGAAGGCCAAGTGGATAAAAAGATGTGTAGTGTCTTGAATTCGAAACGAGACACCAAAATTAGCCCTTCGCGCTTGTAGATCGCCGCGCTTACCTGAGACAAACAATACAGATGGATGAGTCCAGTAAAACGCTACTAGGGAACGAGAAGAATGAAAATCTTTCAAGCTAACAGTCGTCTTTCAGCTCTGAAATAGCATCTAATGTAAAGAGAGACGTTTCCAATTCCATTGTTTCACCGGTTATGATGTACAGTAATGAAACAAATACCACGTAGAGTGAGAAAATACTAAATCAGCTAGTGCGATATACCGCGAGTGTTGCAAGTTACAGTACATCTCGAATGACATACTGCAGCTCCGGTCGAACGTGGGATGTCACGGGCTAGTCTTGCAGCAATTTAAGAGACTAACAAAACGGTATTTTGAACGGTACCCACGAGGAAAGCCGCCGATTCTGTGGAAGAATCAATTGTACACCTGTACAGAATCAACTGGATGAGAGACCCAAAGGAAGAAACAGAGCAATTGCCAGCGCTGCAACGGCGAAAAGGGACACGCCAGTGAAATAACAGCTGAACAAAGTATCGAGATGGAAAAGTTTCCGCTAAAAAATACAAAATCTCGCACGTAGTGCAAATTCAGTCGGACGACGGCATATTTTAGCCAAGGCGGTAAACAAATTTTTGTAATCAGATTCAGCGTGCAAACTGCGCTGAAACTGAAAAGGTCCGGCCACGCCAAACTTCAAGCAGTAACGTTAAAACGACGTCATTTAGTGCGCAAAAGGAAGCGACGAAGAGGAAAGCATACACCGTTCTTGCTCGGAAGAAGCGCACTCCCTTTGCTAAAAACTATTCACGCCAAAGACCAGAACGGCATGGGTAAATACATGATTGTCATCATAAAAAACAACTGTTAATCAAATAAAAAATGTATGAATCGGATTATACAGAAATGTGGAAAGTTATAAAAACGTTAAAAAACTCTGATCGTGGAAGCAAACGCTTCGTTCTTTTAAAATTTGTGAGAGAAGCGCAAAATGACTTAAAAAGAGGGAGGAAAAAAAAGAAAAACTAACTGAATAAATTATTTAAAATGTATTAGTTTTGCAAGCAAAAGCTAAACTCAGAAAACAAGATTCGTCTTACAAATGCAACGCTACAGCAAAAGAAAACGAAAACAAGAGAGGGACACCATTTTGGCCACAACAATCCAGTCAGCAGTTGAGTAAAAACAGTACTGCTGAAGCAACGAAAACAGCGTTACGCTGTGTCTACACATTACTATGATCAGAGAGGGCATACGAAACATTTTAGAAGCGCTTACTGGGTCGCAATTTTCTTAGGAGCGCTTAGTGCGTTGGAAGTATGCAGCATCAACTTCCTTTTTCGCAGCTTCTGGGCACAAATATTTTCCACGTATGCAAACAGGATTTCTTTATCAATCGGATAGATGATGCTATTGTATACAGCTCTTGCTGTTTTGCTTGAGTTTGGCAAACTCTTGTCCGTGCGCTCTCGCATAAATTCCCACTTGCCATTCTGCAAATTCTCAATTTTCAAAAATTATCTTCTTTTACGACCGAACATGTACACATTTCTGACACAGATTCTACGTCCAAACATAGCGAATCCCACTAATAAAAAGAAAGAAATAATCAAATAAACTCTATCACTGGAGGATCGTACTGTGCTGTTTTGAGCAGTTCCAAAGTATAGCGCACTATACACTCTGTAAACCATGTTTCAAGAGCTAAGAAGACAAACGCTTCGAAAAGAAGCTGAAGGTGAGGAACTGCTCAAACTGTACCCTCCAAGCCAGTCATTGTAAAATTACTCGAATCGATAACGAGAAGAAAAAAATAAGCCAACCGTGAAAGTGCATTCAATGATTTTATTGTCATAGGGCAGTAGTTTTTTGGTGGCTTTCATCTGCGCCATTGGTTCGCTCTCATGCTGCACATAGAGGAAGCCGATGTATTCGGGCAGTTCGCCGGCTTTGCAGATGCGTCGAATTCGCAGCAAAAAATCAATCGAATTATGTGAAGGTGGCTTCCACTTCAGCAACTTATCGCAACGGCCAGGACAATACGGCTGCAACATAAATAAACCTCTTACAATCAATGTTCATTTGTACAGCTATTTCCCAGACACCATTACTTCGTTGTGTGAAGAGCAAGTGAACAAATGCAATCGTCCATGCTTTAAGTGAAAAATAAGAAAGCCTTAACAAAAATCACTTGAGCGCGCAAATCTGTACGTGACCCCAACAACAGAAAACTCCAAAGCGCTTCAAGCTAAGCACGAAAATATCAGTTGAAAGCAATCACAGAAAGTAGAACGATTCCGGAATTACCTCTTTAACAGGTTGAAAAATAAGCCCATCAATTTCATGCGTAACGGTTTTCATAAATTTTTCTGCGAAAAATTTACGCACTGTTCCAAGTTCATAAAACTCCTGCAAGTGATATACTGTAAGTGAAATCAAACAGTCTAAACCATTAACTGCTCGAAACTTTGGCGCATGAAAATGTCTGAAAATATGTCAAAACTCTGCCACAGCAATGCGACATTGTTAAAGCAATATTTTTGCATTGAAAAAAACGCCGCCGCTCATCCTACAGATCTTGGATACTATCAGTGCTGGAGATGCGCTAGCTCCTTTAACAGTGGTGCCATAGAGAGCAGCAAGCTCAGCCATGCAAATGCAAGCGCATTACAAAGAAAGCAAAAAATTAATCAGTTTGTAAAAAAGCTGTACGCGCTGGTACCTTTATGCGTATACTAATCGGTTCATTCTCTCTCTTAATGCGACCACTCATCTTTGCTTCAGTACGCGGTCCAATCAACTCCTTACGTATGCAAAATAGTCGCGTCCTGAAATCGCAGCCGCCGACACTTTGACCCTAAAATAACACATGCAGATGGCAGTTGATAATCAACAAAACTCACTTACTTCCAGTTTTAAATCCCGTACTCCACAAAGACACCCATATTCAGAAGTCCCTTCCAATCAACACTTACAAACTTAAAAAAAAAATTAGGCATTCCCAACTTTAGCGTTAAAAAAAAAGCAAAAAAAAAACGGAAAAATCAGTAGCCATACAATCAGAAGAAAAACTGCGCGACGTCAGCAGAGAACAAACGATAGCGGCGCGCACCACAAAGCCGGCGCGATTATGTATTTTTACGAAAAACGTGTAGCGAACTAGCAGCAGTCGAATGCGTCAAAACATGTAGGTGTTCACTTTACCTCATCACGATAGTCTTTTGGCCTGTTTGTCGAATGATAAATATGCAGTCTAGTCGCAAGTAATGACTGGGATACCGTAGTGCATGTTGCTACTAATACTGACATTATAGAAATCGTAAGGCCGAATCCTTGATTTTGCATGCATCAAGATATGGTAAGACGTAAAAGCTGGTTTAACATTTCCAGATCCGTACATAACTGGTCTCAAGTTTCAATTTTCCGAGGGGGCTGAAATTAGTGGTCAGACATACAGACCAACAGACGCACACGAGTTTTGCCTGAAACATCATGAAAACTTATGAAAACCACCTCAAATTTGATCACATCGTAAATGAGCAGCCGAGGAACTGCACTTACACCAGATTCGCCTTTCACCTAAAACTGATAATTTAAACGAACACAAACAACTAAGCAAAAAATTGCATAGGACAATAACAGCCAACAACGATGTCTTTCAATTTTACCTTATCAATTATCATTTCACAATCAAGCAGTGTATTTCGCACATGACGAGGCTCTTTTCTATGCGGAAAAGTTATTCCACATATTTTGAAAACATTATTGTCTCTGTCAAATGCGTATATGGAGTTTTCATCATCCACCAGCACCATGTATCTGAAAAACACAACTGCTTTTTGCAAAAAAATCCAGCTGTATGTATAAACCCAACAGCCCCTCCTCGAACACATGTGAAGAGCAAAGGGGGTTACATAACAGAGAGAAGAGACGAAATGTGAGGAGTCCGAAAAAGGACGGGGACAAAAGAGAACTGAAACAGCTGCGCAAAACAATTCCGGACTGTTGAAAAAGCGAAGAGATTATCGAAAAAGTGAGAGCGAGATGCGATAGCAACCGTCCTCTCTTTATAGCAAAGTAGGAAGGAAAAATAATACATTTCACTAGCAGAAAGGAATTTTAACTGCTGTTCACGGATATAATTAATGAAGCAAACCCACCTAACTCCATCAGCTTTCCAGGAGACCATATATTCATGTTCTGCCAGAAAGCACATGTTATCCCTTTCTGGCGATCTTTCCATAGACACCGGCTGACTACCGGGAAATCCATCTCTTCTGTATTCGCACATTTCGCGAATCTAGAAACTGCACATGTACAAAGACAGTAGCCGAGCCGGCAGTGAACAAGTGAAGAAAAGCGAAACAAACTTTATTTTGCAAGAACTCCCTGGTGGTCGAGTCAGTGACATAAATTACATTTTTGACTGTCCCATCCATGAATTTTGGCTCACCTGAAAGGCAAACCTGAGACAAAAGTACGGAAACCGTGGCCCATCGAAGCTGCAGAATCACAAGCATATGCATGGAAATTACCACTCTGGGAGTCGAGTCGGCTTGTACTAGTCTGTCCACCACTACTGCCATCATCATCAGTATCATCCGCCTCCAGTTCCAAAACTGGACCATTTTCCCACGCTGGTCGTGGTGGAGCCTAAAATCCCATTGTGCATACAAGTGAACTATGAGGAATATTGATGAAAAAAGCTAAAATTAAAGCAGAAAATGAATAGTAGCCTATCCAATTCTCATAATCTGGCGATTAATGTAGCTATCCCCATTAGTTCAAAGCCATTCTCCCATTCGTTTGAGAAGTAGATAGGCGCGGATCTAGCCTAATATTCTAAGAAAACAAACATACCTGAACTTGATCTTAGGGCAACAGCGGAAAAACTCATTAACAATGCAGGAAAGTTGGTTTCGTTAGCATGAAACGCGATCAGATAAAACAGAGAAGGGAGCATACATTTAAAATTTAATCTAAAACACAACTACGATACTACAGCTCATCCAGGAAAAAACTCACACAGACAATCATGGGGTCTTGGACTGGAAGCCTGTCATCTTTTTTGGTCAGCTGTGCTAGAAGGAGCGTTTGTAAACAACCTGAATTCTGTCCCCGTCGTCGCCGTATCTTCTTATCAGCTCATCCAGATAGAACTGCTTATAGATGCCGTGCGGTCGCATTTGCGCAAATGAATGTATGGCGGCATCGATTGCCCAATCCATGGCAGTGGCAAGATAAGCAGCTATAAGAAAGCCAGTCCTATTGAAGCCGTGGGTGCAGTGCACCGCCACTATATCCTTTGGATTCGCCTGAAGAAATTCGGCAGTAAGCAGTCAATTCTGCTTCTCTATGCTTAAAATAAAAGCGTGAATTTACATGGCAACCATTCGTTTTGTTGTGAACAACATGCGTTGACGAACAGTACTGACGAGGAGGGCACTCACTCAGAAAACATTCGATGAGGTGCTACGAAGTAAAGACAGATAATGCAAGCTAAAGCAGACGGCTAAGAGGGCGAAGTGTCACTGTGTAAGTCAAGGCGATCCTGCTGATTAATTTAGAAACTGTGCTCGCAAAATGGGGAACCGCTCAGCGAGTCCAGTTCAATTTTCGATACGTCAGCCACACCTATGCCACAAACTTGAGGTACTGGTAAGCTAAGTGCAGCATGCAGAGGCCAGCCGCTCACCTGGAGAAATGCGCGCACCAGGCGGCAGAACTGCTCCGTTTCGAAGGGGGACGGTGTTTCTTCATGTCCTCTGGTTGCTATTTTCTTATAAATGCAGCCGCGTTTTTCGACCTGAAATTAAACTGGAGAAATGATCGGGCGCTAAGTGATCGCCTACGCACTTCTTCATCCGAATTCACTCTGAAAGAAAACACTGCAAAAACCTCTCTTTTGTGATAATAACGGTTCGTTGCGGTAAGGTCGATCCACAGGCCAATTCTTGCACCAGGTTCAGCGCCCACGAATTGCTGAGCAAAAACATCACGGGGATGGAATTGGTATTTCTTCTCGATCTGCTCATCGTACAACTTCGAAAGTGGAGTTTTGAACGGCAGGAAGTGCTTGGCCACAATCTGAAAACGAGGCCTTTCAGAGAGCAATGAAATTACCAAAGTGCCGATCAACTTCTGGGCATACCGCTAAACAAACCCCTGTGCCTGATTTCACACCAAGGATACTGGAACCAGACATCTTGCTAGGCATCCAATGCTAGTGCTGGTAATGTGATATTCGTAAATGTCGGCAGCAGCTAAGCCACCTCCCCCACCTCCTTGCCCCCCCCGCTCTTTGATTCTGCGTAGCATACCCCCATTCGATGTGTACCGAACTCCCGCATTGCCAGCTAAACTGTGATTTACTTTCTCAGGTCGAAGACATCCAACGTTTGAAGGGACGGCGAGCAACACACGCGCCCACCCCGATACACTCTCGCTTGCTGGCAATAATATCCCACACATTGCTCATCTGACGACTGCTTGTACGACCACGAGCAAGCATTTCAAGCACTCCCGGCGCTATCGCTGTTGCCGTTCGGGCCAGCGCTCGCTGCTCTACTTCCATCAACCAGCATCTCGCCACTTCGCTGCCTTCTGCAGCAGCACAGCGCCACCAAAGAGCTGGTGCGCACAGTGAGCGCAACGGCCAACTGGCACGCAGAAGTTGCGACTGGAGAATGCTACTGGCAAATTGCTTGCAAAACAGAATGCTGTTCAATAACAGCACAAGCAAATTCTAGAAGAAACGAAAATCGCTGCTGCGTGACTGACAGGCGACGAAAGTGAAAGAAAGCATACCGAACCCATCGGTGGACAATAGACCCATCTGTCCGGTAGCACCATGCGACTCTTGTCCACATTGGACCCAGCGAATTCCTGCTGCTCACTGCACTCCATGCTCGAACGTGACACTAACCTACGCATAAAAAACCGCACGTTAGTGACAAGTGAGAAGATGATATCGTCGAAAAGTTTCATTCGCTGCAAATGCACACGACCCCAACCTCCTCATCTTCACCTCCCACCCCTCCTCTCCTCTTGCCAACCCTCAATTAAGGAATACAGCAGCAACGACCCACCGCACCTTCCGATAAAGGCAAAGTGAAATTAATAACAATGCAACCACCCCCCTACAGCAATGAGCCAAGAAATGGCAATTACAAAAACTCGGCTCGGCTGGTCTCATACACGAGCCGCAAAAAATTTTTTTTCCGAACGGCAGGTAGGGTTACCCC